TTCTTTCAGAACTTGACTTTCTTGGTATGCCCTAAAAGAGAGGAATGGTCAATATATTGATTTTAGAAGGGAAAATTTTCTTACCGTGCCTCACTTCCTACGTCTTTGGGGAGAAGAAATGTCCAGTTGCTGAAGGTTGAGAAGTTCATCATGGTGAACACGTCACTGTGGGCTGTAGGCAGTACCCAGTACAGGGCATGGGCGCTTGATCTGGATGATAGAACAGTGCACAAAGTGAGCTCATTGATTATTAATTGTGTTATATGCCCCACACCCACGCGCGCACATACCAGGAGATAAGATAAGATACGATAAGATAAGATAAGATAAGAAAAGATAAGATGAGATGAGATGAGATGAGATGAGATGAGATGAGATAAGATAAGATAAGATGATAAGATGATAAGATGATAACATAACATAACATAACATAACATAACATAACATAACATAACATAACATAACATAACATAATATAACATAACATAACATAACATAACATAACATAACATACATAACATAACATAACATAACATAACATAACATAACATACATAACATAACATAACATAACATAACATACATAACATAACATAACATTGTGTCATAACATAACGTAACGTAACGTAACATAACGGAACATAATATTGATCTCCACAAAAAGAAAGTTTCTGTTATAGATCAAATAGGCGATGGGCTGCTTCGCCAGCGTACTAGTACTCCGCTCAGAAATTGTCTCACTTGATTTTAGCGCCTGGAAATTGATATCAATAATTTCAAGTTTTCAACTTTAGTATTCTTTGCCCTCAACACTATGTAGGTCCCTAATGAAGCAGACCCCGCCAGTCAGCGCAAGTGCTGGTTATGTAAGAGGGTACAACGTCCTTGAAGATAGACGAAGTTATTAATTGGTGAAACAACTTCGCCACTTGGGGATCGAACTCACATCTTCTGCGCGCAGTAGAGAAGAGCCTAATCATTACGCCACAGAAATCGGTGAGCGATTCGCACTGTTAGTATTAGCTTGGTTTCTGTATGAATGACGTCACCTCGAATCAGCAACGGAGCATTCTAAAAACATACGTTGTCTGGGAATTTTAGTGAGCCTCTTTGTCCACTTGGTAGGTACTTTCGACATTACTAAAAAGGAATTCATGGTCAGTCTTAGCTCTTACGGTAAATTTTTGAAGGTTCAAGAGTTGTGCTATTTGAGAAAATGACAGAAATGTTTTATTTCGTTTGTTCAGATTTAAACTACGGTAAATCCTTTTCACGATTTTATCCAAATCATAACACTGAACAAAGGTGAGCTTACCTTAACGTGGGGTGATATCTTGACCTCGCTCTGAAAAATATTCCAAATACAATACGATACTGATCACCACACAATAATACAAAATAATGTTTGTGTCCATACAATATCGTTAGATACTTGGTATGTCTGGTATAACTTCGGCCCCATTCAGATTCTCCTTGAAATGATGAAACCCGAAGTACTGGACCTAACTCTTCACAGCATTTCGAAAATCTCAAGTTACTTCCTTATGTTAATGTCTCTGCTTCAAAACTTTTAGCCCAGAAGTAACTGCTCCATACAAATTTTAAAGGAGTATAAAATTTTGTTTTGTAGCAGCTCTCTTGCTTTGTCCATTAATTTTTCGTTACTGCTGTAGGTAATACTGACAAAGGCAATTATACCAATAGCTGCTACTGCTATTGCCGCTGTTGCATACAGTAAAAACCTTGTTTTCAGGTCTTCAATTCTTACCTCAAATAAATATAATCGGGAACTAGGAGTACGTAGATCATCGTTGAGACAACAAGCAATAGAGCAAGGGACGTCACTCGTCCTAGTCGGCGCTGACACCGGAACACAAGAAGTGCCACCATGATAATGATGCCGTAGGGTTGTCTAAATTTAGTTGTTTTTTTACGCAACTTCAAAAGTTTCCATTCCTGTAGATTCGGCTGAGTACCATTAAGAGAGAAAGAGAGGGGTGGACAAGGAGATTAAAATTCATCGAACCCAATGTTTTGGCTGTAGGATCATTTTTTCAAGTCCTGTTGATCTGTTCATGTTCCCATGCCATATCAATTTGCCTACATGTATAATACATTGAAACAACTAAGTAAGAAAATGACACAATATGAACTCATATACGAAAATGATAATAACATCATCAAACTTCCAAGACAAAATTGATACCATAATAAATCGTCGATACTGGAATGGAATCTTGATATAAATGGTTTCAAATCTCTGGACATCATTTATACGTCTATGTGTTGGATTATTTAGCAATTGATTACGTGATGTATCATGTAATCTAAACTAAATGACATACCAGTCCACGGCATAACACGGTTGCATATATCAGGATGGAATGATGCCCTCGTCAGATGTTTAAGCTTAAAAGAAACCAACACTTTTCCGCCTGTTGGTCAATCTTTTTTTTTTTGGAGGGTTTTTTGGGAGATGGGGGGTGTGATTGAAGGTTGACCAAATATGCACACACATGAAAATGTAAATTTGCGGCTTCATAAGACAATCAAGTTTCGGAAGTCACCAAAATTTGGTGATCATTTTCTCGCTAAAGTTACCTCCCCTCACTCCCTTCAATATCAAGTACCTCGACTTCTTGTCAAGAATGATCGTTGGGGGGGGGGGGTATTTTTTTGCCTTAAAAAAAAACACAAAACAAGGGGGGGGGGGGGGGGGGGGTATTTTTTTGCCTTAAAAAAAAACACAAAACAAGATAAACAAACAAGCTTTAGGGTTATTCCAATAAGTCCATATTCCTCAAAACGAACGAGCTCCTGATTCCACTGCGTCAAGGCACATTTTTGTCTATAGTGCGGTCCAAAATTGACGTGGCACAACTTGTCCTCCAATATCTCTTTAACGGGCCAATCAGAGTCACCCATATTTTGCACAGCAATTTGTGTCTATTAGTCTTAACTTAATTATATTTTTCCACAACAACTGCGATTGTATTTTTTAAAAACATTTCTTCATAAATTTATATGAATAATATAAATCTCCGTTGGGCGGAAAATGTGATTGTTCACAGAACTTCCCGCTTTTCTTCACACATATTCTGAAAGCGCATAAGTGGCCTAGGCCTACGTCACAGCTGACCAATGGCAAGAAATTAATTTTATAGTAATTTATAGTGAACATTAAAGGTTCTCAAAACATGCGTTCCGTGAGTATAATGACTTGATTAGAAAAAAATTACAGACCTGCTTTTAAAAACGATATTGCCCCAGCTGTAAACCTTCTAAAATCTAAAGAAACCACCATCTTCGATTTTTCATTAGCATTTATTACGGAATTTTCTAGAATACAGATAACGTGTGTTTACAAAAATTTTGATTTGTTAACACGAATTGATACAAGTCATTGTGCAAAAACTGTTTGTTCGATGATTTTGGAAATTGACAATAAGTTGAGCCACGAATTTTTGACTGCACTATAGCTTTAACAAACGAGTGTGCTAATTTCTTAGGTTGTACCATAGACCATCAACATTATAATAAATGATAGAATATGGGAAACACATGTAAATACGCGTAGATTACAAATACAGGTCTGCTTTTTAAAAGTAATGATTGTGGGCTGACCAACTGGTAAGCAATTGTTTACAGGTGGCAAACTGAAAGCGTTATTACCTTTCTCACAAAGTTTATGTAATGCTGCTTTAGGAAAGCTCAAGTCTCCCCCCCCCTCTCTCTCTC